GTGGTCAGATCCCAAAGTGTACGTCAAACTGAGGGACAACATGAATGAGTCGCCGGGCATGCGGTTAAGCACCGGGCAGTCCGAGCAGCGCGAGTGTCAACTCAGCGGTACAATGAGTTACAAAACAATTAATAACCTTCGGCTGGAAGACAAACAGCTGACCATTCATCTAGCGGATCCAAGAGTCGGCGCGTTTCAGAGATTTACCATCAATTATAGGCAAATACACGCCGAGGGCTTTGAGATGTGGTGCGGGTTTGGCCGCGGAGTCAGACTATTGGTTAAGATTTGGGTTTCGGTGGCCAACGAGAGGGCCGGACTCACTGAGGAGGACGTGTCTGACTTTCATGTGACGGCACTTATGTATATAATTAACCGTCGCGTCGATCACTATCGGGCCAACACATCGCTCGCACAGCCGTCAGCGCACCGCGAGTTTGCCAACAAAGTTAAGACAACTTATATCAGGGAACGGGTGGCCGACCCGGACTCAGAGGCGGCCTATTGGTCGAGTCCGCCCATGGGATCGATGGCCGAAGTGGCGGAACGGCTGCGGGATGTGACCGATGAGGGCCAACGGCGACAGTACCTCAAAGACCATGTGCTGAAGAAGTCAGTTCCCGAATGCGACCATCAGATAGGCTTCGAGTCGTGGTACGAGTCGTGCCCGGAGTCGGTGTGTCTGTGCTCTGAATGGTGTAATTGGAACGCATTCTTCCACTTCCATCCCATCTATCGGTTCCTTATGTGTCAACACAATCGCCTGTTTCTGCCAAACAAGACAAACGTGTCGGACGTGTATCTCTTCGTCAGCGCCTTAATCGCTAAGACATCGTCCAACCAGCGGGTCATTCCTCCCACACCACCGCTCCTGAGGCTCATGTCTTCGGCCAACGATTATCGACAGCGATTCCATACCGAAGTATTCCTCAAACGATTGGCCGACGAGTATATGGATAGTCATCCACCGGTTGTCGAACTTCTGGGCCTAACCTATCGGTACATACGGTTTGACGGTCTGAACGCCTGTGACCTTCGCTCCCAATTGGACACAAACCCATTATCTGCCGTCTGTATCGACGATCTGCGCGATTACGTCACTCTCACCACACAATTGCATCACTGGTTGTCTTCATGTGGCGGTCTGTTTGTGTCCCAACCGAACGTCAAGTCATTCGCCGTCGAACTGGCCGTCCATCTGACCCGACACTACACCACTTACGTGACCGAAAGTTACGACACTTTGGTCACCCGTAGCCAACATCTCACGTACGATCACCTCTTCACCGAAGACTACCAGCACTGGTCGCGAGTGGACGTCGACGAGCGGGTCATGAAGATCGCCGGCGCCAGACGTGCGCTAATCAAAGCCCAAACTCCGGTCAACTTTCGGGTGCAAAACAATCACTTTCTGACCGCTTTTGTGGCCATATATCACGCGTTTATACGAGTCGGACCGTTGATACCGACCTCAAGCAGAAGACTAGTTCTTGACTCTCTGTACGTGTTTTGTCACGTATTTGACGATTCCTTCGCCGAATACGAGCGCACACAACTGGCCAACACATCCGGTTTTGACAAGTGGTTTGACTTCCAGTTTGAGCCGCCGGCGCCCGTCGACCAACTCCAGCCATACCTCACATATTATACGTTGAAATTGTATTTCTATGCGTTTGGCGTTCAGAGCTATTGTATGGACGCAGCCATCAAAATGTTTGATACGGAAAGGGATGGCAAACGACAAGTGTTTCACGAGTTTTCTTTCATATGGAGTTTGGATGGCATTGAGACAACATATGCCCATCAGCTGCGGGGCCAACACCTGTATCGCATCGACCCATCACTCAACCAATCGGTGGACAGGTTTTATGTGCAATACTGGGGCACAGCTGGCCATCAGTCACCCGCCATCGCGGCCGACAATTTGGACGCAATCGTGGATTCAGTGTATTATGAATACCAGAGACTGTATTACTGGTGGAAAAATGATGGCAACAATCGGCCCATATTTAAGACAATTTTGACAAACTTTACAAAAGCGTTGACCACTTGTGTCCGCTCGTCGTACGAAGTGTTGAGAACCCAAATATATGTGACATTTGGCCAACTATTTAATCGGAGATACAATCGATGCGTCGAAATAATGGACCATTTGGTGTACTATTTAGCGAAAGCCAACTGTTATGTCATTTTGTCAATTGTGGCCAAATTTTTAAACAAAATATACTCTGTGTTTGAGATGAACGCACCGACAAGACATCTGCACTATGAACTTTGTAAGCCTGGTCTGGTGCCCGTCATGGCCACAATGAACCGGGTGTTTGAGCTGATCCAGGGTCTGAACGAGGTATACGATGTGTACGACGACGAGTTTGACCGAATCGGCACCGCTTTGGCCGACACCCGCCGGCGAGTCAAACATATGTACCGACAGTTGTATAAACATATCTGCTATGAATGGTGTCACGAATTGAAGACCATTCACGAGCGACCCGTTCGGTCGGCCAACGTTTATGCCGTTCAATGCCTGCACATGTCGTCGGGTCTGTCGTTTGCGGCCACTTTTGGCGACCACTTTCGGTATCAATTCAATGAGATTAGACTTACCATCTATAGTATCGCTGCCCTCACCGGACATCCCGATAATTCTGGCCGTCAAGCGTTTGCCGACTGTGCGGACACGTGTCGGGCGTTTCTGAATGACAAGCCATCGGCGGACAAAGCGATGCCATTCTTCAACAGACATTGGCGTAAATTATTGGCTAAAATTTGTCTCCGGTTTAACCAACAGCCCAAATATTTAAATATCAATCTGAACATGGCTAATTATGTGGACCGTTTCTCTCTCAATATTTAATAAAAATTTTGATTAAAAAAGTTAAACAAAATATTTGTGCTTTTATTTGAAATGGAAAATAAATGCTAAATTAGAGTTAAAATATAATTTAGTACTAAAAATAAATGATAGTATGTTATTGTTATTGAAATTAGTTACATATTGTATATAATTTATGTTTGATTGTAGAAATTATATCAAAATGTTTGACATTATTTTGAATATAAATGAAAATGAAGTGAATTCTGTGAATGAATTGCAAATGTATGTCAAAGAATGCAATGAATGTATTGTAACAAATGAATTGAAACTCAATGTCTACAGAGATAATAATCATAAGAATCTCACAATTAATACAAAACTTTTGGATATTGTTAATTTATATATCAATATTGATTACCTTTTTATTTTGACACATTTGTTGCATTTTATTAAATACAAAATTTGTTAATTTTATTAAAAGGGATCTCAATCTTTATTCATATAAATATAGCGTTCATTAAATGGATTATTTAGACTAAAATTTCTAAATAAACATTAAATTTTTATAGAATATTTTTCTAAATATCTTTATTTGGATTTTAAATAATTGTAAAATACTTTTAATACAAATTTTTTCTGATCTTCAGATTTCTGGGTATTTGTCTCTCAATAGTTAGATCTCCGATATTGTTGTGAACACAGATTGTGAACCATTTCTTCGGGTCTATTGAATACCAATCGATGCAATCAGTGATGAATTGGCGACAAATCTTTGTGTAATCTTCGGAATTGTACTCAAAATTCCGATTCAAATGAATGACCGATAAATCGCTGAACTCTTTGAATTGTTTGCATAAAACGATTGTCTTTTCGGTCAAATCTTTGTAATGAAGAGCCAGTGTTTTGATTGTCGTGTGTTTTGCGATCAAACAAAACATTTGTCCAAAACATGAGCGACAAATATATGGTCGGTTTGGTTCGCATTTGATTACCACATCGGATAAGACCAGAGTCTTAAGCGCTGGAAAGCATTTGATAAGCGTTTCAAACGCCGATTCAAATGAACGATACGATGACAGCGAAAGTGTTTCGACTGATGAAAATGGGATCAAATTCTCGGTGTATTCATACTCTTGAAACATGAGATATTTGAGACCCAAATATACCAGATTTGGCTGCTTTTGGGCCACTCTTCGCAAACAATGCCAAACATTTGATTCTTCAGACAACTCACATGAAAATGCTTTTAAATTCATGCCATCGATGATCAGTTCCAGCGCTCCATCAGTTATACCATAGCTATAAATATAAAGCGAATCCAATTGTCTGGCAATGGTTTGAATATGTAATGTCTGCGCCATTCGTACATCGATTGTATCAACACTTTTCAGTTGTAATATTCTAATACTTTGCGGCAAATTCTCGCATAACTCAGTGAAACCGTTTCCACGGGTTGAAGATATGGCCAAACACTCAATGTTTGGTAACTTTTGAGATATCGAAAGCATCCGCTCTTTACTCGGTATAAGACTTGGCTTTCCCTCTGAATTGGTCTCAAAAATATGTACCGGAATTGAAGACATTCGGGGAATTATATCATCTTTTGGTAGATATCTATTGGTTTCAAAGCAACTGCCGATTGAAAGTGTCTTCTGTTTGCGGAACCAATAGTTGGCGCAAAACTGGAACTGATTTGAGACTCTCTCGAGAGGTATCAACTCATGGATCCCGATGTATGAGAAGATCTTTAGCACCAAATCGTGATTTAAGACAACTGTCTTCAGACTATTAGCACTCTGTCCATCGGTTTCGGCACTCATTTTGATCTATAATTTGAAACTAATTTTTATAAAAAATAAATGCCAACGAATTTTAACGACGGTTAAAATGACATTTTAAAAGTGTTTGCATTAAGTCATCACAACAATTATCATGTTATCTAAATCAAACAATTTACAACTTCAATCGTATAAAAATATTGCATTTTATTTATTTATTTCCGAGAAATTGATTTCAATTGTTTTAAAACGAGAAAATCTAGTTTGAAATCCGGACACAAAATTTGTATTTACAAACAAAATAACGGACAGATCGGGTGAAAGACAGACAGACAGACAGATATCTGTGTCCAACAAAACCTAAACAGTTGTCAAATACTTATATCTATTTCTACAACAATCTGATGGCGGCGTTGAAGCGAATCCACAAAGAGTTGGAAGCGTTGCGCAAAGACCCGCCGCCGCGGTGTACGGCCGGACCCGTTGGCGACGACCCGTTCTCGTGGAGGGGCTCTATAGAGGGTCCGCCCGACTCGCCATACGAGGGCGGAGTGTTTGAGTTGACCATCAAAAGAAGCAGTGGAGTTGTGCCCTCACTATCACCAAAGTGTTGCTCTCTATTCAGCAGCTCTTCTCCGACCCGAACCCGGAGGACCCACTCGTGCCCGACATCGCCAACCAATTCAAGACAAACCGACCGAAGTTTGATTCAATGGCCAAACTATGGACACAAAAGTACGCCAAACCCGGGGTTCAGCCCAACAGCTCCTCCTCTGTGGCCGACGACAGTCAAAGTGAGAGCTCTGGCAGTGAAAGCGATGGCCAGTAAAGGGACGGTTGGTTTGGTTCTGGCTTTGAATTGTTATTTCAATAGATTTTGATTCAATGTGTGATTATTTTATAGTTTTTGTATTGAAAAAAATCAATTAAATGTTAGATTTTGTCTCACAATTAATGTTTGGAAATAAACTCATAAATTGAATGAAAAGTAATGGAAAAGAATTATTCGTTTAAATGCTTATAAAATCAATAATAATGTGAAAATCGTTGATATTTTTCACAAATTATTCATTAAAATTGAAATAAATTTGATTTTATGATTAGTTTCTCTTAAAGTTTCTACAAATTTTAGAAACTATTGCAAACTTATTGTAAAGTCATTCATATATTGCACTCAATTTCACACAAAACTCAATACAAACTTTCAATGCATGCTTTGAATGAATGATCATTTTTTCCAATAACTATTATCTCGTCATTCATACATAAAATACAACACATTTTGCACACAAATAAACAAAACTTCAAAACTTGTATTCAATTCACTTCACATGTAATCCAAACAAAACCCAAAACTTCATTACAAGACGTAATTCGTGTCTAAAATCAACACTCAATTCATTTGGTGTTCAAAATTGTTGACACATTTGAAGCAAAGGTTTACGTGATTTACGATTAGTGACCACTCGTTGACCGCAATCACCAATTGGTTCCCCATTTGTCCGCCGAAGACATCGTTTCAATCGTATCCGCAATCAGTTGTCACGTTTGACTCCGAGAGTCGTGTCTCAAGTGATTAGTCATCGATTGGTAAACAAAAGCCAAATCCATGGATCCGTTTGAGACAAATGCGAGAGTTGTGTCCACTGAAGGAACCGGTGATGACGTGACCACTGAAAGACACGATCAGAGACCCGATGGAAGACAAAGTAGTGGTCAGTCGCGACAGTTGTCACCGCAAAGACACGCCTCGAGTGATGGCATTACGAGTGTGTCATCGCTCGCCGGTCGCGGACACGGAAGCGGTCGAAGAGGTGTATCACTGAAGGAGCGACTCCTGAGACAAGTGGCGCACAATTGGAGGGTTGTATCCGTTGAGGGAACCGATGACGACATCTCTATTGAAGATCGCGACGGAAATGTCATTTATCAAGAGTTGGGACGAGTTGTGTCACCGCAACCACTGGTCTCGCAATCGGGTGGACGACAATCGAGTGGTGGAAGAAGTGGTGAATCACTTAAAGAGCAACCAATTGATCCCAATCTGAAGGTTGTGTCCGCTGAAGGAATGGATGATAACATCTCTATTGAAGGTAACGATGAAAGTGATGGTAAACATGAGTCGAGACGAGTGTCGCCGCAAAGNGGAAGAAGTGGTGAATCACTTAAAGAGCAACCAATTGATCCCAATCTGAAGGTTGTGTCCGCTGAAGGAATGGATGATAACATCTCTATTGAAGGTAACGATGAAAGTGATGGTAAACATGAGTCGAGACGAGTGTCGCCGCAAAGACAGGCCTCAGAGAAAGGAGACAATTAATTATCACAAGAGTTGTATTCAAAGATTATTGTAATTTATTGTCAAAGTCTTTATTATCTGAAAATGTATTTAATTATCAATTTTGACACTAAAATGAGAAATTAATTGCAAATAAATTTAAAACAAATTTCAATAAAAGTTAAAAACCATTCATTATTATTAAGTATTTAATTTAGTATTCATTTCATTGATAATAACTTTGAAACTCTTTTGATTGAAATTTCTGGCAATTTATCTAATTGTACAAAATTTTAATTTTATTTTTGGCATTTTTCAAATAACTACAGACTGTAGTCTACAGTATGACATAAGTTTTATTGGTACTGTATTTGATCATGGTTGTTGTGTGCATCATAATTGCCCACAAAATGGGGGCCAATTATAACTGGTGTCTGATTGGCTCATGTGTGACATAAGTGAGTGAGTGTTGCGGTGACGTAAGTGTTGCGCTAATTTTGAATGGGGTTTATATGTAATGCCTGTGTATTGTAATGATTGCTATTTGATCATGAAAGTTTTATTTGTATTTATCATTAATATACAGTTAAATTACAGGAAAACATGTGTTTAAGTGATATTTATTTATGCATATTATCTAAAATAAATGTTATAACTAATGTTGTGATAAAATGTCATATATTTTGCGCGTATAGAGAGTTGGGCTAAAAGTTTTGTATAGTTTGAAAAGTTTGTAAAAAAATAGGTAATTTAACGTAAATATCACGACATTAATATTGCTATATAGCTACCGATACAAATATTGACGGTAACCCAACACCAAACTGAACAACAGGTAGTAACTCTAATCGGGATGGCAACTCCCTGTCGTTGATATTGCAAAACAGATATTTGTTATACATTTGATCCGTTGTCTCGATCGGTAATTTAATTCACATATAACTTATAAAGTTATTATTTATAAAAATAGTTTAAATTTGTTTCATTAATCACATTATGTTATTAATTGTTTATCAAATTTAAACACAGTTTAAATTAATTTATTAATAAACGTTTACTTGTTATTGACTTTTATTATCCAATAAATTTGTATTTTTGGTATCATTTGAATAAATACTTAAATGATTCGTTTGTTAAGTTTGTTTGGGAATCGTTGGCGGACTTTAGCCACGCTTTGTATTCCCATAATTGGTAGCAATTATTGTCTTCAATACAACCGAAAGCCATCACTCAATGGATGGACACAATTGGCGACAAGAAGTGCTCATTTGGTGGACAAGAAAAAGTCAATCGACGATATCTATAACGAAATAAGCAAATGTGTGGTCAATATAACGATATTACGCAAAGACAATGCGGGAGATCCGGAAGAATATGGAAAGGGCACCGGATTTATAACCGACAGTCGGGGTCTAGTGGTGACCAACTGTCACGTCGCGCAGGAATCGACTCTTCTCTTCGCCGAGATCTTCGCCAAAATTGACGACAATTTTGTTGCCGTAAACACACTGTCCGGTCGTGTCGTATACGTAGAGCCCGAACACGACTTAGCGGTCATACGTCTGGATCGCGATCCCAACAAACCGGACCAGGAATTGAATTTACCGGTCATTTCATACACGGATAGGACGGGCGGGACTGCGGGCGAGCACGTGATGGTCATTTGCTGCGAGAATGTGACGGCTCCGGCCCTAATCGACGGCATCATTATATGTGCCGATCGCGAGGGCACAGACATGTCGTTAGGAAACTTTGCTTACATTGAGTATTTGTCGGACCCAATGGGACGGTATATCACGCACTCGTGTAGAGTCGCCGGCGGCTCATCTGGTGGCCCAATGGCCGACATGTCTGGCAATGTTATGGCCGTTAACTTTGGTTCACTCGAGGATTATGTTAAAGTGGCCACAATTGGCGATAGAGCCAGAGGTTTGAAATTTGTATTAAGATTTTTATATCAATTTTTTAATTTTTGATATTTAAGGACTCAATGAAAGAGCGGTTGTATTTGAAAGAGAGAACAGTCATCGACAGCACCTATACTCGGAACCGATGTCTTTGGGCGTAATTGTCCACGAGTTTGGTGAACACGTCCGACAATTTCTTGGTCCCGAAATTATTGAATACCTCTACGATGATTTCGCAAATGAACCTGGTATTTTTGTGTGGCGTACGCTCATGACAAGAGTCCCTCACGAGTAATTTTTACCATAGTTATTTTTTGTCATAAAAATTTGTTAATTATTTTTTGTTTTGTTTGTGTTTTTAGCAATGATTTCAAAAAATTTGATTTAATTGTAAGGATTGATGGAAACGATGTCAACACTTATCGAGAGTTTGTAAATGAAATACGAGGTAAAAATGATTTCACGGCAACTATTATAAGAGGTGGCGAACCAATGCAACTCGATATAACACGCGAACCAATTAATTGCTATTTTATGTGAATTTTATTGATATTTAATTTATTAGATTTTACGATATTTTGTATATTTAAATAATTACATTAAATTAAGTTTATTTCACTCAAATCATATCATTTGTAATGTTATGACGTGTAATGTTTAATGTTATTTTTAATTTAATTACTAATTAAATGGAATAAAATGTAGCATACATAATATTAGAAATGAACTTGATAGACCAATATTATTCATATACAGTATTTCACACCTGACCTCCTGTTTAATGAAAATGTTTTAGATTTTCATATTTATTACACAAACTACTCAATAATTAGTATTTTTATAATAAAATATTAGTATTTTAATAAAAGAGCATTTATTTCATTTCCGATTTATATATCAATGCTTTTAATATTTTAAACACTTTGTGTTAAGAAGTAATTGAAAAATGAGTGAAATATTTCATACAAAAGACTCGTTTGAGAGGTTTGGCGACGATTTGGTTGAAGTGATGGTCAGTTATCTCCCACTCGAAGAACGCTTTTATTTTGAATGTCTGTCCAAACGGTTCCAGACATTGCTTTACACAACAGTTACGGACATCGATGTCGACGACAATCTGTTGACCAAATTATGCGAGAAAAACATTTTCGGTAACAAATATTTTACTTCATATCATTTGTCAAAATTAATTAAAAAGTGTCCGAATATAACACGTGTGGACACAACACGTGTTTATCAAAACCCAATTGCGATACAACTGTTTGTGGCGATCAATGAATTGCGAGACAATTGGCCAAAACTGAAGGAAATGCAGACAAACATCAATCTCTACGACAATAGTAACGATAATTCAAAATATTTGTTTGAAAAGTTTGGTCCATTGATTACAAGATTAAATTTAATCTACGATCAAAACCGTCACCACCACAACTATCACCACAACGGCGTACACCACTTCAACCACACACTGCTATCCAATTGTCACCGATTATCACATCTCAGGACTCAACACATGAACCATTTGTTTGATACAAACCAACAATTAATAGTCAAGAATTTAAAGAGTTTTGAGTTTAGCTTTAATTCTGGTTATTCTACTGAAATGTTTGTCACATTTGCAGCGCATATGAAGTCTTTGAAACG